CCACCCCGTTTAGATGGGGAAAAAAAAACAGCTATGACTCAAAGTTGTACCTTAAGAGGAAGCGGACTATTACATTCCTCATCGCCCACAACTCTGGGAGATTGAAGGCATTCTTGAAGACACCATTTCCCTGAGCTACGTGAAATTATGTTTGAGAAAAAACATCCGTGCAGTCCTGTGTGCATCTTCCTGTAGATCCTCCAGCTATCTGTCTCAAAGAAATTTGGAAACAATTGCATGGATTCAGCAAGGGAGAAAATAGTTTTGTACCAGAGGGAGGTGGTTTTCTTACAGAAAAAGAATCACAATTATTTCAGCCTTTTTTACTGGTACTGATGAAAAATTTCCTGGCTCTGATAAAACACAGCTTGCACAGTGTTCAAATTCTCCTTGTAATAAATCAGCTCAGATTCCTTTAACATTTCTGTATTATGGATAATATTGTGTCCAAAAGGCATTTTTCCTATGCCACACCAAGAACCCTAATGCACAAATCTGAGCTGGAATCAGATTGCTATGGAAATTGTATTGGTATCCAGCGCTCAGAGCCATGTTCTCATTAAAGAAGGAGGTGCTTCCAAGATCCGTCAAAAACAAATACTGACAAAGCCATTAAACAGGACAATTTAGACTGAACATGCCTTCTCTTCAGTTGCTGTCCATATATTCCTAGCAACTCTTTTTCTGAGGGAACAAACACCAGCAAATGGTGGGAAAAGGCATCAAAACCAACAACATCCATGCTACAAGACAGAAGATGGTTTTGATATTGTGATCTTGCAAAAGAGTTTCCCTTACTGACAGTCATCAAAACTCTGTGGCTACAGATGGCAAGACAAATAAAGAACCAGATAATCTTTCGTACAGAAGAGGACACAGCAGATACTTCCACTTCAGTTTGGTAGAGTTTCACAGATATCTTGCTGTTTGCAGCATCACACTGGATTCGACAGTCAAAAAATTTTCTCAAATAATAACAGAAATCTATTTGTCAAACAGGTTGGGGAGAAAATAGTGAGATAAGTGAGTCTGGTTGTCTTAGAAACGATACCAGTTCACCTAAAACCTAAGGCACAGAAAATCTGAAACGAATTCAGGCAGCTCAATATAGGAGGAGCTTTCCTCTTCAACATCTGGGATAAGAGCAAACCTTTACAAGAATACTCATAGAACAGCTCTTTTAAGTAAAAAGGCTAAGCATTAAGCATGTTGAATGCACAGAAATAAGCATGAAGGCCCCTGTATGCCTTCTCGGAAAAGTAAAAGAGATGAAGAATAGACTGAACTGAAATCGCTTCCCTTCTGTTACATGGGAGGAGTAACTTGGCAGTTTTACAGTAACGACTTTTAATGGAAGCAAGCAACCCACTCTCACCCCTTTCACCTTATGCTGTGCACAATAAAATGTTTTAAAACTTGAATATTTGAAAAATTCATATTTTGAATAATTTGACAGCTATCACTAAAGTCAGTGTGCATTTCAAACAAAACTATACTTTTTCAGATTATTGCAGATTCCAAAGTGAAATTTTAGATGGTGATTGAAGTTAAAACAAAATTTTGACTTTACCTTTTGTAGACACATTTCTCTGAGCATGACTTGTGATCTGCCAACTGTTTCTCTGACTACAGGGTTCCAGATTTAAAAAAAAAAAAAAAAAGTGATGAAAGCCATCTGAAGCCTCCTTGTTTGGCAATCCGAGGCAAAGAGTTTGGATGGAGAGATTTTGTCTCGCACTCCACCTCACTAAGAAAAAAGTGAATGAATGGTAATTTATTCAGGAGCAACTGTTGTTTTTGGAGACATAGTCACTGTGAATCCTAATGAACGTCTCCATACACTTCACTACGTACAAGTGTTTTCACGTAGACTGGACTTGTGCATGCTTCCCCACGCTGCTGCGCAAGGACATAAAGTACTGAACATGTCTAATCTTCCTTCCATTTTTTTCTTCCCCTCAATGCCTGGTTCAACTGAGAACTTAAGAATTAAAATGGGAATAGAAGGCAAGTCCTCACTTGTGCATGTGTGGTACTTGCATAAACAAAAACAGCCACCAATACTGTGTTTCCTAAAGTATATCAGCATAGTTCCTGTTGTGATTGACAGCTGTATCACAGACCTTTCACAAAAATCCATGGGAAATTTACATGTTTGCACTGTACAGTTTCAAAGATGAGAGCATTTTTAGGGAAGGCAATAGGTACACTATTTACACAAAAAATGAGCTCTGACAATCAAAGGGACAACTTTGTCAGCCAACGCCACTGATGGAAAAGTTCTGAGCTCAGCGTCTGATCCACCTAGAAATTCTCTGCCAACAAATTTTTTGGCCTTTGGGTGAACCAAAAGCAGTTAGCAAGTAAGGAGACACACAAAATGAAGAAAGCAGTTTCCTCTCTTCCATCAAAAGGCATCATCAGGAAAAGATCAGTAACTAGTTTGGATAAAAACCTTAACATTTATTTTATGGCTAAAGTTCGACATTCGCATTATAAACCGACCTTTTATTGGCCTGCTATCCAAGGGGTGGGTACCATTATACAAACACAGACAATTTCCCTTGGACTGCTACGCTATACAGCTTCTAAAATGGTGTCAGTGTAATCTCCCAGGACCTTTGACAGCTAAGAGTTCAGACCTCAATCAGTTCTAGATTTACTGCATAGGGAGTAAGAAGTAACAATAACTCTCCAAGAGCTTAAAAAGTGAAAAGGAGCACAAGAAAGCACAGGACATACATGCACAAATGCAAGCTTGGTGGACAGGAATTCAAAATAAAAATTCGCTTCTCAGGCACAGCACACATGCATCTACTATGGATTCCAATATTCACATATGCTCAGAAGTATCTTACACATTACTAAAGTGGCCTACAAGAGTCTCAAACGATGACCTAAAACTTGTGAAGGCTTAACAACTACACTGCAAATTTAAAGAGAAAAATTAAATTGAAGAAAGACTTAACATGATTTATTGGGTTTCCGTTAAAATTTAAACTTATTTCATATATTCTAGCATAGATCCTGTCTTATCACTTTAATCCTCTGACATGCTGCTTGAGCAAAGAACCAGGCTCCAGCAGTCCTGTTGCACACACTATTCCAGTGGTACTTCCCTAGCAAACTGCATTGAGTTCTCCTTCGAATCTTCATTTAATTTCAGGGAAGCTCTCACAAAGTTTTCAATTTAGATCTCTCAAATCAATTCAGAACTAAATTTACTACTATAAGTAACCTACTTCTCTAGTACCAATCTGACAACAGACTCTTGGCATTTATGCAGACCGCTCTTTGCTCATCTTCAACGAAGTTATTTATTTCACCGCAAGATGCATCTTGATTCTAATTTACCAACCATGTACCTTGTTCTTATTAGAACTCACTCCTTCTCACTTTAAAATACACAAATGTATTTTACTAATTATGTCATCATTAATTCTATACCAAGCCACATTACTGAGAATGAAAGAAGAACAGGTTATAAACATTTTTATTTATTTATTTATTTTTTTTACTAGTCTTAGGCTAAATGACCTAGGTTTTGTGCAGCGGACTTTTCTGAAGCAGGATACTTTTCCTTGCTGCAGATAAATGTATGAAACGGAGTTATCCAGAATGACCAAACATATGCCTAGAACATTTGGATTTAAGCTTCCCTACGGTGGGCTCTTTTTTCTCCCTCCTCTGAATTAATTATTTAAATAAAAGACAGACATTAATCAAATCTTTAAAAAGAATTAGCAAAGAAATGACTGCAGACTGCACAGATGTGGAACAGACAAGGATGCCATCTGTCAAATGTCTAGCTATAGTTAATACCAGATACTACAGAGAAGATGAAACCATAAAAGTCTGTACTGGACCGTCATCCACCACAAGCCCAAGTTCCTTTCCACTTAATTCCAAATTCCTTGGAGAGTAAGGAGCAATGTCTACCTGTAATAGAAAACAGATTCTAGTGACAGAGCCACAACAAGCAATTTGCCGGACATTTTTTTTGCAGTCTATAGAGACTGCAACATAGACCTGCAACTTTTTAAGTCAGCTGATGTAGTTGTAAGGAAGAGAGAGGAGAGACCTTTTCTTATGTACTTTGGGGAGTTTTCAAAAACCATTTGAACAAATATCCTATTTCAAATAATTTGGGAAAGTGACAGAAGACCAGATTAAAAATTTTTGAAAAGTGTCAGAGCAAAGATTGAGTTAAACATGAATTCAGTTTAAATCAAGTGAAGAAGTCTTACTGACTTTAGTGAAGGCAGGATTCCATCTCCCCCCTCCTCGCCATCTTGTAAAGCCAACTAAAAGCAGGAACCAAGCCTTTCTTACCAACTCATCAGTAAGGCAGTGGTGTTGCTAGTCACAGCAAAGCTCCCAAATACTCTGCTCATAGAATATACAGGCCAACAATCAATTAGATCATTCCTGAATTGAAGAAATATCCAGGAAGAATTTTGTATAAGCACTACTTTTCTTCAAAGCAGAATGGAAAGTTGGCACACGATGAATTTATCAGAACTGTAATCTGGTTTAAGCATGGGTTTATTTTTAAATATCTTCAGCTCTCACCTATAGGTTATTCTGAAACTCTGGAAATCAGCAGATATTTACTGTTTATCGGAAAGGTTCCTCAAGTAACCTTTACTTCCTCTTGGCACTTTGCAAAAGTGTGAAAAGGACTACACAATCAGCCTTCACTATAGATATCTGTCTACAGTTGTCCAGAATCTAGAACGCGAAGTATTCGGGATGTAAAATTACTTTTTGACATATAAACCTCTAATAAATCAAATATTTCACAGACTACAGAAAATTTAAGTAAATAGCAGGATATAGCAGAAAGCTTTTTTCAAGTATTTACAATATACTTAGCATCATGTCAAGGAGTTGATGTATGGGTTTTGGGGTTTTTTTTCCTCCTTCCCCTTGCAGACTCTCCCAGGTTTTAAAGCATCTCAAATAACCAGATGTTTAAATGAAATCAGACACTACACAGGTTAAACAACATGGTTCTATTAAAAACTATCTTCAACCATGGCACTCCGTGACAGCAATACAATACTTTTTTCCACAAAGCAACTAATATAAAAATATGCCATAAAATCATTTTTAGACTAGTATTCTAATACATATATGTAATCATAACATTCTTTTATAAACTCTTTCCTGAGATACCTTGGGTAGTTTGATTTTCTTGTATTACTGGATGCATTATCTTTATGATTCATTTAAAACAACTGTAAAATATTTTGTATGTGCAGGACACTATCAGTAACATGTAAAAAGTAGTAATGTAAATATATGGCAAAGAAACAGCTCTTAAAAATTATGCGCTTTTTAACTTTGTTATACATTTTAACATTTGGCTCCTTGGGAGGTGGAAGGGAGCAGCAAGAAAAACCTGAAATTAAGAGCTAAGAATTGACAAAAAGCAGGAAAGCATTTCAGGAATGTTAGAAGTTGAAATATAATATAAATGACACAAAGAGAAAGCCATAATTCATGTTGGCTATGTATTGCCTTATAAAGTAACCGGACATATTTTAGTCAGTTCACAGTAAAATAAATATTTCTACTAATCTGTTTTGGAAGAGCAAATGTCTTTTAGGGTTTCAAGCTCCTCTATAAGTTTCTTGTTCTGAACTTCTAGCACTGCAACACGACTCTCCAGACATTTTATGTATTCTTTCTTCCGACGTCGACATTCTTTAGCAGCTTCCCTGCAAAAAGCAGAAGTACAAAGTGCAAACAAAAAAGCCATTTGCATGCTATTAGAAAGCTCAGCAGAATATGGAGACTATGACTGAATTCCAAATTTTGGAACATCTCCCACATCAGTCTGAAAACACTAAGCAAAACTGTTCCACAAGGGCCTCAAGTGTCTCTTTCTCAAGTTCGTATGGCAATCTGTAGAATTGCTTCCTCTCATGCCTTGATTAAAGTTCATAATAAACAAGGTCCAAATGAAAGATAGTTATTCTGCTTTATGACAATAAAGATCTTTGAGGGCCTTGAGTTCCTCAATGAGAGTCTTGTTTTGGTTTTCAAGCACAGCCACACGATTTTCAAGACATTTGACATATTCTTTCTTCTTTCTGCGACATTCTCTGGCAGCTTCCCTGGAACCAATACAAGGCAAATGACTACAGGAACAGCCACAATATGGCAAAGACTGGATAAATGAAATTACCTGCCATCCCTACAGTTCCACAATAATGACAACCACCACCAATTGTTGGACTGCACAGACAGAACAGCAGATAACAGCCATAAGCAATAACATGGTTAAACAGCAAATTCAAAACAACTGAAAACTGAAAACAAATTCAACACCAACAAAAACAGTGATGGAACTAACACAAATGAACTGAGAAAAAACAGTGATGAAAAGCTAATGCATAGGCTTGGGCTGTACTAAACGGAATGCACTCCTTTAACATTTCGAAACGTAAATTGTCAAGTTGCAAGCATGTAACTTTCCAGCATATGATATGAGAGATGGCATAGACAGTAGTGTTAAAATAGAAGAGAGGAGAAACTAGAAGGGAGGCACAACAATGCAGCAATTCTAATGAGTAATTTAAAGTAAAGACAGGCATGAGAGCAAAGCAATACCATGAATTCAGTCATAAGGCAAGTGGCTATTCAATGTATCTGCATAGCAGACTACTTCTTCCAGAAGGCATGAATCTAACTCCCATTGATGTCAGCAGCAGCTATGCATTTAAAAAGAAAAAGCCTTCTAAGAACAGTCGGAAAAAAGTACAGGGAAAGACAGATGTTTACTGCATACAGTCAAGTCCATGCCAACTAATTAGAAAATATACAGCCACCTCAACACAATATGCTAAATGACACACCTATTTAAATTAAGGAGCACTACAAAGTAACTATCCTAGGAGCCAGCTATTTAGGAAATTCTGTAACTATCATTCCATTCCAGGATAAAAGTCTTCTTCACAGCATTGTTAATGGGCGGCTGCCAATGAGATCCCATGCTGGACATTTTACTATCAAGTGAAAAAATTTTTTCAACAACAAGTATATCTCTAGATCATCTCAAAGATGAACAGTAACGGACAAAACTAATACTTATTTTTCAGTTATGATAATATTTTAGAGTTAAAAATCCACGGAGACGAGGACAGCTCTACCTTTCCAGGTTTGATTAACAGCCACTGCTCATCAGTGCTGTAAGGATGTGGGATGACAGACAACATAGAATGAATTTCTTGCCCTTCCTTCCTCAGACACAAGCAGTGACTCATGACCTTAAGAAGAAAACTATTAGAGTACTTTGGGGGTTGTTTTGCAACAGTGACTATTAATTGTTACATAGTCTTACCTATTTTTCATAAGTCGCAGTTCTCTCTTGCGCGTTGCCTCTTCTGCTAGCTGCTGAGGGTTATGCAAAGTCCCTGGTGAGGCTGCCATTACCACTCCCTGAGGCAAGGCAGTGGTGGGAGTTCGAATCTGGTAAGCTGGCATGTCTCCAGTGGCAGCTGTATTAAAGAACCATGTTTTAAACATCATGGCAAAACAGAACTATGCAAAAGTCTCCCTGGAAATACCAGATTTCTGTTGAAGTATTATCCAGGATCCCTATTACACAAAATATCTCACAGGCCCATAATGTCATATTTGTTATCTCATCAGGTTTTAGTTCTACCCTGTAAAATTAGCTATCTACCTTGCTCTAGCATGTGGCCCACCAGCCAGATCAAGCCTGTGAAAGCTTCCACATGGCTCTTCTCAGAGAGTATAGGAAAAGCTGCTTGAGAAATACCGTCAAAGCATTCACATTTTTATTTCCTGCTTGCACGAAAGATGCTCCTGCTGCTGCTGCAGCCACTAAGGGTTATATGCAAGCATTGTCCTCTAACAGATGTAGCCACCCATCTCCCCTTCCCTATAACAGCAACAGTACTGGCCTTACAGACTCTCCTTCCTTTACGGCAACAGTTTGGCAACGTTAGGAAACAGTGAGAGCTACTGCTGCCAAAAGGAAGAGACAACTGCTCATGGGGAACAGGAATACGTTCCTTGAGCAGGAGGTCCACAAATAAGATGCTCCTGCATTAGGGGGCAAAAGGAGGTAGTAGCTGTTGCACAGGAAGGGGTATAGCTACACAGTAAATTGAAGTCCAAAAATTCACATTCAGCTCCTGAGCCCGCCAGTTTCGACCTTTCCCAAGTTAAATGCAGACTTGAAATCTGACATGTAATTTGGAAACAATATCCTTCTAATGCTCTCATCTTGTTTCTGTATTTAATCCTAGGATACTTTGTGATGTACTCTCAGCTTTAAAACAAAACTGTGAAAGTCATAAGGAAGTATATCTCCGTCCTTCTGACGTAGAAAAACCAAACAAAAAATGCATCCCTATTAAAATTATAAGCAAGTACTTGCATATTAGTTTCCATTAATATTTCATATTATTGCAGAACAAAAAAATTCAACTTTCCTTATGAAAGCAACTGGATATAAAAGATCAAATTTCAGAGTCTGTTATGTTATACATAATTTGTACTTTAATTCTTTAAAATAATACTCAATTAATGGAAAAAACTTAGATAAAACATAGACAAAAGCACTATTGGGAGGCTGATGGATAGAGCAGTAGACAAAAGTCACCTACAGAAGAAAAAAACCCAAACCCTAAACATAATAATAAATTACTATTGACACTCTTCTTTAGGATAATTTCATGCAGGTGCTTCACTAATTAAATAGAAAAAATAGCTGTGTTTAGACCGCAGTTCTCCAGACATGAGTCCTGAAAACATTATCTGCCTAAACAATTCGCAGTTCCCCCCCGCCTCAGTTGTGTGGGTAAAAGTGTTTGTGGAATTACAAGATGCACTGGACTACTGAACTGACCTAAGGTTAAAGATAACCCTTTCGGGATGGGGGCAAGGGAAGAGGAATCAGTGGACAACAGCCTTGTGAGGACGAACAGGCAGATGCCTTGAACTCGGGTCTTCCTCTTCTTGCATATCTACAGTAGAATTACTTAACCCTCGACTCAGTTCACTGCTTATGGTAGCAGCCCCAGTTATGTCAATGGGACAATACATCAGCTCTCTATTTATAAAAACAGAATATTAGAAATCCTTTAGCCTCATCTTTATACTACCAAATCATATAAGTTTATCGACTCCATGGCAAGAGCTACCCTTTTCTATCTCTCTTCTCTGGAAAAGAAAAAAAAAAAAGAAAAGAGATGTTATCTTAGCCTGCATTAGCTATAACGAATCAGAATTCCTAGTAAAATGACGCAGTCTGTAGATCAAGTAAGGGGAAAGAGGGTCACCTCAACCTGAGGTCACCAACTACTTTGTTATCTTTGCTTGATTTACACTCGGGTGTTAGCCAAAAACACTTACTGTTGCTGCTGCTAAGAGGACTCAGTACCACACGTACCTGCAACAGGGCTCAACACAACTGAGCCCCTATGTCAGCTGGGATCAGCAAGCACCACTGTAAGTAGCAACATGTTTTAAGAATAGTTTGACCAGGTTCCCATAACGTCTGTCCCCGCCTAACAATTAGCTCACTTACAAGTAGACAAGTATGGTAACAGAGACAAAATAACAGTTTTGGTCATACAAGCCTAGCTAACCCAGACATAGCTGTTAAAAAATGACTAAGCATCTTTCAGTTGTGCAGTAGTAAGTGCTTTATCATGGAATAAGTTGTATTAGTGCAAATTAATTACTAATTCTGCACAATTTTTCGTATCATACCTCAAAAAGTTATAATAAAACGCTGTTTCCCCTGAAAAATACGCTGGAAGAGACAAAACAGGCTTTAACGAAAAGGATACTCTAGGAAAAAATTCATACTGTTCTAGTCCATTAATGTACCCATATACTGTAGCAAATGGTACCTTGCAATCCAGCATCTGAGATAAAAAAAAAAAAAAAACAAAACCCACACACATACACAAAACCCACACCACCCTGATCCACACTGACAGACCTCTGAAACCACAGAGAATGGCAGTTTCTAACAAAACTCA